AGTGGAAGAATCCAAGGAATTGAATGAGTGACTAGGTTCCATTGTGACAGCTGGGTATGGTGGTATATCCCTATAATCTATGGGAGGGAGAACTCATGTGGGAGGCTGAGGTGGGAGGGTCTTTATTTTTAAGGCCAGCCTGGGCTACATAGAGTTCTACAAGGGAAGTACAACATTATTTGGTCCCAAAGAACTATCAGAAGGTATCACAATATACTAGATCTTTCTCTTTTTTAATGTATGTTTTTAAATTTCAGTGTGTGCTCACTCGTGTACACCATGAGGTTCAGGTGAAGGTGCAAAGACAACTTGCAGGAGTCTTTCCTTTCCTTTCCCAGGGATTGAACTCAGATCAACCGGTTTATGAGCAGTCACCTTAACCTACTGGGGCACCTTGGCAGTCCTTTAATACATTTTCAGGTTTAAATAGAAGTTCTTTTTCATGTGAAAACAGAACAGTAGGGAAGGCTGGGGGAATCTTAAAAGAATGCAAAGAAGGAAACCAGTTCTCCTCTCTCAAAGCTCGAACCTCTGACTTCTTAGAACAACCCAGGAAAGGCTTCTGCACTGGTTCTCTTCCTGGTCAGCCAGATCTCACTCAAATAGCTCAAAGGGAAGAATGGGTGCTAGGTCAACTCCAGCTCTCAAATACAATGGCTCTTTGAGGAACAGACTTGTGAGAGAAAAGAGGCTGAACAGGAAGCCCCTGCGCTGTGGAGGAGGAGAAAACTGGAGAGAAACATGTTAGTGACAGGGGAGGCCTGAGTCCAAAGGAGACTGGAAAACCACTTGAAAGCCATCCAGGGCATGCAACTTTCAGGTAGGTGACATAGCTGTTGGGCCCAGCAGGGAGATGTATAGATTCATGAGGTAGCTTCCCTATTGACAACTGCATTGATCTTCTAATTCTCTAAATGGAACACAGTATAACACAGCCATTATGTCCAAGGCACCAGGCTCTGAGCATGAGAGCAGTGTTTCTCAATGGGTAGGATTAGAAGTATGCTTAAGGCACTGATGCAGTTTAATTATCTTCTATCTGACAAGTAATAAAGTTGGGGTTCACAGTTGTCAAGTAATTAGCCTATGCTTCCACCTAAGTTGGTGAGAGAGAAAAAAAAAAAAGAGACTCAAGATTTGCTTGTATGTTCTGTAATTCCAGGTGGGTAGAACAAAACTAGTCCCTCACCCTTTGGGCTTTCTCTTCCCTTTGATGACTGCCTCCAATGATGCACATAAGCTTCTTAAATTGATATTATCTGTTTTGTCCATTTCTGCTTTGGTTGTCAGTGCTTTGGGGAAATGATCCCAAAATTCTTAGCCTGTACCAACCAGTGCATTGAAGTGTCTTTTCACCAGTGCTTTCTTCTAGAAATTTCGTTGTATCAGATCTCACACTTAGGACTTTGATCCACTGTGGGTCATTTCTACTCCAAATGAATGATAGAGTCAGTAGAGTTTCAATCTTTTCAGCACCAGTTAGTAAAAAGTCATCCTTTCTCTAACGTGTGTTCTTTAAATTTTGTTTTCTTTTTCAGTGCTCTCTTGACCCAGGAAGCCCTAAAAAAGTCATTCATAACAAATACTCACATGCACCTTAAGGACATCCATGAAACAAGGCCATCAAGGGTATGCATATCTCAGAAGAAAGCAAATGTTTGAAGGATGTCATTTTAAAGAAGCAATGTGTGCTGCTCCATCTGTGTAATATGGAGTCAGTGGGTATGCCCAGCTCAAAGAGCAGGGCTGGACACAGGTGCAGTGTCCCACATTATTCTGAATCCTGGCTTGCACATGCTTAAGGATGGTGAGAGTAATAGCAAGCAGGAGTTTGGGTGTGGGTCCTCTAGGCATTGAACATATCCAGGTGAAGAAAACACACAGGATCCTCTACTAAGCGTAAGGAACACATGGTGGATTGACCCATGCAGGACCTCTTTCCTACCACATTGAGATGATTCTCACTGACCAGGAATATATTGTTCCTAAGCCAGAAACAGAAGCTGCAAAGAAGAAAAGGATACCTGGGAAGATGCTTCAGAAACAAAAATTTCAGGCCCAGTGTAACACAAAATATAAAAGACCTGGACACTGATATTGGGGTTCAAACTTCAAGCTGAAGATCAGACAAGCAAAGCAGCTGGGCACTAGCTCTCACTTTGCCTCATACTGAAGGGCTATCCTGGCTCCACCAAACCTCAGACTGTAACCTCTCCTCCATGTGGCTGGAGAATTCTGAGACTCCAATGTCTTCCTATCCTCAGTGTGGCTAGAGAATGAATCCCTGACATAGACTGCTGATATAGACCCCTATAGTGCTGGGATTAAAGGCGGGTGATCTGAGGTACTAAGATGATCTTTGTGTGAGCTTTTTCTCTTTAGGACTGAATCACTCTTGTGTAGATCTGGCCTTGGACTCACAGAGATCCGTCTACCTCTTAAGCCTGAGTCCTAGGGTTAAAGGTGTGTACCACCACCTCCTAGCTTCTGGCTGCTGGGATTAAAGGTGTGTGCCTGGCTTGTGGCTGACTTTGCTGTCTGAATCCTTAGGCAAGCTTTAATAAATCATAAATAATATATCACCACATGCCAGAATAAACATAACATAAAATAAGTACAAATAAAAGTTATAAAACCATTATTTTATAATTCCCTGTCTCTTTGATCAAAATGTCCTTAATTTTCCTCTTATTTCCTTCTCCTTCCTCAGCTACCTCTTTTGATGTAGTGTGGTGTGTGTGACCTACTGCATTTAATTAAGTTTGCATGCATGAGCATGGGCATTTATTGTGTCCTAATATACTAGGTCCCACTCCAGAGCTAGAGATGGGAGTCTGAAAGTGAGTATGTATTGGATAACTTTTAGATATATCAGAACTTTCAAGCTAGCTTTTAGCTAGAGAATTAAGAAAAAAGAAGAAAGATTGAGTGTGGTTAGTGCAGTCAGTACCCTCAAAAATACCATATTCCAGCCAGGTGGTGGTGGCCCATGACTTTAATCCCAGCACTCAGGAAGCAGAGGCAGGCAGATCTCTGAGTTTGAGGCCAGCCTGGTCTACAGGGTGAGTTCCAGGACATCCAAGACTGTTACACAGAGAAACCCTGTCTCAAAAAGAAAACAAACAAAAAGTACCATATTCTGATCTAACAGAAATGGCACATTCCCATCTAATTTACTTTCTTTGAAAGGAATCTTTATACCGGATGATTTCTGATACTCATTTAGACTCAACTCTAACAGGGCTAACATTTCACAAGGTTGTGCCATTTAAGTGTAATTTTAGCTATGTGACCTAGTTCTACTTATCTAACCATTTTTAAAACTATATTTGGAGAAAACCATGAGCTTTACTTTCATAGTTTTCTTTAGATTGAAGCAAAAAACAATCAACTCGCAGCAGCAGCATTGCCTTTCCTGAAGACTTCCAAAGGCATCCAGGGAGACTTGGGACCAGGAGCTACTGGACCTTGTGCACACAGCTTTGTGCCTTTGGGTTTCTTCTACTTCCTCTAAGATGAAGGCTTAGTGCAGCAAGTCTATGTTTATCCACAGGCCAAGGTTCCTATGACTCTAGACTTTAAAATTTATGTGAAGTATTTCTGAAATGTTTCTATCCTGTGAGCTTATGCCAGAGGTTATGAAAATCAAAATTGTGTATATGAACATTGCTTTTTATAAATCATATAATATATATATCACACATTTGTGTGATATCCTAGCTCTATTGATTTTACTCCCAAATAGTTTCCTACATCCAATTGCTACCCTTCCTTCTCTCTGAAGCTGCTCTAGTCCACATCCTTTGAAATGCCTCATTGAGACCAAAGTAGCTGCTCCCTCATGGCTGTTTCCAGACTTGTCTGCATTTCACATTGCCATCAGATCCATCTATCTGCAAAAAAGGTATCATTCTCTACCTCAAAACTCTCCCATGGTTCTGTGCTGAAAGCCAAAGTCTAAGCACAGACAAGGGCTGGGAGAAATGTCAGTAATCCTACCCAGTCTCACTTCTCAACACTTGTGGTGTCCTTCAACCGAACCCACGTACTTATTCCTGGATTTGCCCCAAGTCTGTCATAAACTTTCAACTCTCCCATGCTCCACTACCTAGCATTCTTTTCATCTCCTTGTTTACCTAAGAACCTTCATGTACTGTATATGCATCTTTTGACATTGTTATATTTTCCTTCCATTTCTTCTCTAACAGATTTTAATAAAATAAAGGCTTAGGTTGTAGCTGGGTCTGGTGGCTCACAGCTGTAATCTCAGCATTTCAATAGCTGGAAGTCTGGAGCAGGAGGAGAGCCAAGAGAACAATGCCAAGGTGGACACATAACATAAACGCACACGTACCCATGAGCGCATGTGTACACACACACACACACACACACACACACACACACACACAGGCATACAAATGCCAAAAACAAAAGACAAGGTTTGTGGTTTATTTACCTTTGTATCTTTAGGGATTGTATTAGTAATTTACACACACACACACACACACACACACACACACACACACACACACACACCAGATGTTCAAGAAGTGGTAGCAAATACAAATTCAGTGGACTTGAAATGCCATCCAGCAAAATTTTGAAAAGAAATTATCTCTGTAGCAGAATATCCTACCACATATCAACTCAATTGTATCCAGATGGAAATGCACTTTATTTTCAATGCAGGCCACGAAAACTTCAAGTGGCTTGTGTGTGCTGTGGGGCACAAAGTATGTACCCAAAGGCAGTGATGGAAAGACAGAAGCCAATTGTTGAGTAATATCTGGAGGCTGTGGTGGCACACACCTTTAATCCCAGCACTGGGGAGGCAGAGGCAGAAGGATCTCAACAATCTCTGATTTTGAGTTCAGCCTGTTCTACAGAGCAATTTCCAGGACAGCCAGAGCTAAGCAGAGAAATCTTGTATCTAAAAACCAAAAAAGAAAAAAAAAAACGGCAATAATTAGGCATCAGTCTATAACTGAGGCTGCTCCTACCTGTCAGCTCTGCATTGGGCCACCACCCCAGGTCACAGGCTCTGCAGGTGAACTCATCTTGCACAAACTCATTCTCTTTGCAGGCTGTGCAGATCCAGCAGCAGCTCACTTCTCCTTTCCGGATGACCTGCAAGACAGGAAGTTGTGCATTGTTCTCTTGGCTATCCTCTCGATTCAGCCTTCCAGCCATGGAAATGCAGAGATTACAGGTGTGAACCACTGGGTCTAGCTACAACCTTAGCCTTTATTTTGCTTAAAATCTGCTAGGGAAGACATGGAAGAAATATACAACATAATAATTAATATGAAAAGATGCTTATACAGTACATGAAGGTTCTTAGGAAGATGCTTGGAAGTCAGCACACCAGACAAGCTCCTGTTTCAGGTGGGACTTTTCTTCAAAATACCTCGACAAGTCTCCTACCAGCTAAAGGAACCCAAGGAAGGTTTGAAGACCTCATGATCTTAGAAATCAGGAGTGGGTGTCAACTGATTTCTTTCTAAGTTTGGAAGCCTTTTGGTAGCACTTTTATTTTATAGCATTTTTAAGAATAAGAATTTAAAGCAGGCATGGTGGAGCACACCTTTAATCCCAGCACTCAGGAGGCAGAGGCAGGCTGATCTCTGTGAGTTTGAGGCCAGCCTGGTCAATAGCCAGAGTTCTAGGACAGTAAAGGGTACATAGTGAGACCCTGTAACAACATAAAACAAAAATATATCATTACCTTATTTTTATTAACATTTATTAGTTACCTTTAAAAGTAAAAACTGATGATATATTTTTCACTGAAAAATGTTTCCATCCTTTAAATTTATTGCAACAATTTGCTGGGAGAAGGTGGAGCTGGAACAAGAATTGTGGCCAGGTATCTCATAGGTTGGACCCATACTTTTTCATTTTGTATATTCTAGATAGTTTTCTCTTGATGTGGATGAGTGACTGGACCTAGAGTTAGGTTTCTTAGGCCAAGATGTCAGAAACAGTATCATGTGATATTCATCCTGATGATGTGTTAGGTTTTCCAAATTTCTCACAGTGTCTAAGACGTTTGAACTAGACTTTGGGCATGATGATGTTTGTGAAAGCACAGGGTGCTGCACTCCTTCTCTCGCTCTTTCATTAGTTTTCAACCTTGTCTAGCAGGCAGTTTGCTAAGCCAAGTCCCCCCACTTTGGACCTTGCCTTTGATGGGGACTATCCAACCCATTGACACTCTGATGTTATCTTTCATGTACAAATGTGCCGGGCCACATTCACAGCTATCTTAACATGCATGTGGCCCAGGGGCTACAGGTTGGACATACCTGTTATAGAGCAAGCCTCATTAGTAAATTATGATTATTCTAGTTCTTTATTCAATCATGTGTATGATCAACAAGACATCTCCATTCTGGCTGTTAGAAACTGAGACCATTCTTGGCTCTGTGTCAGCTCTGAGAATTCACTTCTGTAGGCTTCTCCCTTTTCCTGGACTCTTCAGATTCTACTCCACTCACATGCAGACTGATGTTCAAATACTCAAGGGAATGCCTGTGCTAATTCCTGGGACTATTTGTTTGTTTCCTGCAGAAATCCATCTTCTTGGTCCTCTGTATTGCAAATTGCAGCTCTCCTGGCCTTCCCAAACTCTGATTCTGTCTTCTTGAATTAGCAAGATGGCCAAACGCTGTGTTCTGTGTAGCTGAACAATCAGGAGATTGCCTTCAGGCAGGAAGCCTGAGTGGTTTTAGGGTTTTCCTTGCACATTTTTTTTCACTTCCCTGCCATCAAGGTCACGAGCTCTCTTCCAATGTCGGAACACAGTGGTTTCAAATATTTTATCAAGCTTTCTCATTGTTTATGGCAGAAGGCACAGCCTGCACCCTGATATCCCCTCCCGTAAAGCAGCAGAAGTCCTTCACTAGCACATTAAAAATAACAAACATTTCCATATGTAAAGTCAGAATTAAGCTGTAAATATTGCCATAATCTAAAGTGATAGACACCCCAGCCTTCATAAATCTGAAATTATTTTCAGGCAGAGTTGATATTTATACCCTAATTTTAGAATTGCAGGGAAAGATCAAATGACAGAATATTTTCAAACAATGATTGCTTTCTAAATGGTAAATTGTTAATTAATACATGAATATTATTTTCTTATTTAAATTAAGGTAAGTCATATGATAAAAGCCAATGTAAAATACCATGTATCCATTCAACCAGCTTTAATCTTTCATCTCCTAGTGAAACTAAAATTACTGTTTAGGCAAATTCAAAAGATAATACTAAATAAATTTACCAACCCACTGTCTACATCCTTTCAATGTCTCTTAGGTTTTCAGTTGTTCAAACAAAGCTTCAGGATCAAAATGGCAAGAGCTAATCTACTAGTTGACTTTAACAGGAATGGTGATATAACATTAGTGATGGGAAATTTTGTGGGCATGTCACAATGCTTCCATCATCACAAGATGAATGGGCTGCCCATGCTTTTCCAAGTCCTATCCAGCTGAGTTCACATAATACAAAGTTTACATTCTATCACGTGACTGAAGTTGGTTTTTCTCTCAGAGGACATTAATTGTGCCACTAGCAGGTGTGCTAGAGATTAGTATATGTCTATTATAGCATCCCCATACCACTTTTCTGTTAAATAACACAGACATGGTATGAAGTCTGTTTCTCATCGTTATTTCTTTTTCTTTCTTTCTTTCTTTTTTTTTTTTTTTGGTTTTTCGAGACAGGGTTTCTCTGTGTAGCTTTAGAGCCTATCCTGGCACTCACTCTGGAGACCAGGCTGGCCTCGAAATACCAGAGATCCGCCTGCCTCTGCCTCCCGAGTGCTGGGATTAAAGGCGTGCACCACCAACACCCAGCTCTCATCATTATTTCTATATAAAGCAGCAGGAAGAATTCGAATCAAATAGTAGAGATACACACGAAGAGCCACATAGTCTATGTATTCTTAATCTTGTCATGTTTTTAATATTACCAGGAAAAGTAAAGGCATATTAGTTGCTTGATAATTTACCTCAAGAATGAAAATTCAATCTCCCAAATAAGCAACATCTTTCAGAGAATAATTATGAAATTGGACCAAATAAGCAATGGCAATACCTAGGGCTACCAAACAACAATAAAAAATAAACAGGAAAATGTACAGATGAAGAGGAAAATAACATGGAAACGATAGAGCTAAAGAAAGAATTAGTAAGGGTCAGTTATTACAAGGATGATCAGAGAATACTCAAGTTACTTGGCAATCTAAACCCTACTGTGCTGCAGAGTCTTGCAACACCTTCTCTGAAACAACCCAGCTATTTTTTAATACCATCCTGTGCTGAAAGAAGGTAGTATAAATATAAATAATTGAAATTATCAATATAATTTAAGAGATATTATTAGAAATCTCAAATTTTCTCCAAAGGGAACTTCTCTATGTTCTTACAGCTACTGTTTGGAAAACTGAGAGATCCACCACCACCACCACCACCCACCACCGTAGCAGTGTATCCTCAAATGCTCAGGGCACAGACCTAGGAATACTGTTTCAAATAGGAACAAATATAAATGGTTGCTTAATGGACTCTTTAAAATACCCCGTATCTATCAGAACATCTGACATCACACTGAAAATTATAACGTCCCCGGTACTTTTGTTTTCAACATATCTATCTCTGCCCTTTTTGCTCAGCCATATAAACAAATAAACAAACAACAAAACAATAATAACAACGCAAGAGTGATGTAAGAGACTAAGCTTGAGCAAGGGAGTGTCTATCAGTTCAAATTAAGCACTCCTCTGAGATCCATATTTCTATTTTCTTTTCAAACTAACCCCACCCCACCCCATCTCTTCCCTAGTAGAAATACATTGGCCAAGATCATGAGTGGAAAAAATTATTCCAGTTTTGAAGCCTATGCCTGTGGCTGGAATTTGATCTAAACAACAACAACAACCAAACTAATAAACAAAACTAGCATTGCTTTGTTGCACAAAAATAGGCTATGCATAATGAGGAAATGTTTGCAATGTGTACCATGTTTACCAGGATATGTGAGGATGAGAGGAACTGCTCTTCTCTCTTGCCTCAGCCTCCAACTAAATCTCAGAGTCTTGGGAAAACAATCGTATAGACCAACTTAAATGAAGAAGGAGTGTGCATGAGTGCGTGTGCATGTGTGTGTGTGTGTGTGAGAGAGAGAGAGAGAGAGAGAGAGAGAGAGAGAGAGAGAGAGAGAGAGAGAGAACATGAGGAGCATGCAGGAGATCTATAAAGCAATCTCTACAGATTCGTTCATTCTCTAGCACTTTCTTTGTCTCTATTAAACCTCCCCTCCTCCTAAATATTTCTCCCTAATTCTATACACTCTTCCCTTTTGTATTTTTAAAGTGGATCAGTATTTATGTTTTTATCGTGAACTGTTGAAAAACCAGTGCTTAGAAATTGAAATCCCCACTTACAGGAAACATGCCAGTTCACATAACACCAGAGTTGAACAACATGTGGCCGTGGGATGATAAGAGCTTTGGGCTGGCTCTCAGCCCAGCTCTGTAACATTCTAGATGCAAGAACGAAGAAGCATGGGACTGGAGCAGCCTTATGGGTCTCAGATCCATCATCTACAAAAGGGAGGGCCAGTAACACCTTTTGTGTAAGAGCCACTTCAAAAAGTAACCTGTAAGGAATCCATTGTGCTTTGACAAGGACTTACTAAGTGACTCTAAGTCTCTGACTTCCTTCCTCCTTCTTTCCTCTAATCTTCCTTTGACTTCCTCCCCATTTTTGTTTTTTCAGGTCTTATGTCCTCTCTTCCTTAGCTCCCACTTGTCTGGGTTACAATCACCCAATAATGAATTGCTACTGAATGCTTGCAATTAGTATAGTTCTTATTGTTCAAGGCTACCTGTGAGATCTGTTGTCTACTTTCTTCTGGGTCCATTTGGCAACAAAGTAGGACTGATGACAAGAACACAGAACACAGTGTATCTTTTTCTTCCCCACCCCATTTTACATGAAAGTATCTTAGAACAAGACTCTGAATTCTTTCCTTGTCCTTTTATTCTAAAAGTGGGAATGGAGTCCCACTGTTTCTCATCTTTGGGCTGCCTCAGTGACCCCTTTTACTTTTTTACAATCAGTTTCCTATTACCTAATACCCTTTATTAAATTGTATGGCATAGACTCTTTTGACCAAATTATATCTGTAAGAAATAACACAAAATGTATTTTATTTACATTGTCTAGAATTGGCTCTCTCAATAAAGCATTAGCACCAGAAGATATTATTTTTATAAGTTACATATATCTAAAAATAAGTAATAGAAAATGGGCTTTTAATAGCCTCAAAAGAAATTATTATAATAAAACTTTATAGATTGATACCCCAATGACTTAATTAATTACTTTTCCGTTGGTCCTACCACCTAAAGGTCCTACCACCTCCCACATGGTCACACTAAGAACAATATTGTAGTACACAAACCTTTGTGGCACACACACAGACTATAATACCCACAAACTAAGGGGCTAGCCATGGCCATGGTGGCCATAGCAAGAGTTCATTAGCACCCACCAATCTAGCAGCCATGAGTATAATTAGTTTTAGTGCAACTTCTTCTGAGAAGGCCCAAGACAGTTACAACTACAGCTGGTTTCAGAACTTCATTATTTCCTCAACATGGCTAGAGCTACCATGAGTTTTTCCTCCCTGCCAAGCCTTCTTAGCTGCTTCATGCTCTTAAAGGTTTCAAAACTTTCAACTTTTCTAGTAGTTCATGTAAGGCTTCTCAATCCTCCACAAGAAAACTTAGGTTAGGCTCTGGCCCCAGGAATCCTAAGTATAGTGGTTGTTCCTCAGCATCCTTTGGACCTCCCCTGTATGGGGTGGGGAGAGTCTGAAGCTCCTGGACAGCACAGTATCATGATGACACAAGGAGGGGTCCAGATCTTCACACAAGATCAACTCCAGCTCCAGCTGCTGTGTGCGACATTTGCGTGACAGCCTGTCTGCTTCTTGAGATGAATCATAGCAAATTAGAGCTGGGGAAAGACCTATTAGTTTATCTGAGCTATGAGCCTGCCAGCTCACTGCCCTCCCCTACACTCTACTGCTTCCTGCATCACCAGCCAGAGTGTAAACAGCCTGGACCTAAAGCCATGTTTCCCAACCTTCTTCACTGACCTTTCTCCCCAGCACACCCAGCAAGAAACTTGGTATTTATTTTCGCTAGTTTTCTGCATATAGTAATATTATGAGCTACTTACTTCCTCTCTCCCAAAAGTCCCTGGATATAATAAAAAATTGGAGACTATCTTTGTTTAAAAAAATAATAATCCAGTTCAGGTGAACCAAAGTACTTGGTAGGGAAAGGGCACTGCTAATCAAAGTGTCTGCTTTGTTTTGGTGTTCCTTGGTCCCATGATTGATTGCCGTTTTAGTTACATGTTTGGCATTGGACAGCTTCTGCCTTCTTTAATAATAGCTGGAATGGTGCCTAAGCAATATTACCGGTTTTGATGCCCACATTTACTTTGGTGTCTAAGTTTTTAATTTTAAAATAATTGGCAAAATGTTATATCAAGTTGTGCAACACTGAGGCTTGATATATGCATGCATTTTGTAATGATTGCCACAGTGAAGTTCATTAACACATCCGTCACAATTCATGCTGTGCATTAGATCCCCAGAGCTCTCTTTAGTAATAGCTGCCACTATGACTAAGCACCATTACTGGCTTCCACACTTACTTCTGTTTCGATTTTTAATGCTGTTACTCATCTCCTTGCTGCCTACATTTGTATGTAAGTCCCCAGCTTGCCATTGCTATTAAAATAAAAACTTAAGACTATTTCAATTGTTCATATAGTTCCTAAGCAAATATCTAGAGATCTAAATGTCTACTATCATCTAAATACCTATCCAAATATTTAAATTTCTATATCCTAACCTAATGGTCACCTATGTCTTAACTTTTCTTTTCTGTTTTAGCTAAACATAATGGAACGGACAGCAATCTCGTTCACCCTTTCTGGATCATCTTGCTTTAAAATATGTTTTTCTTACTACTGCACAGGTGGTCAACCCTTTCCAATAATGTCCAGGGATGCATCCGTGGCTTACCTTAATCTGACCCTTTAAGCAAGGCTCGCTGCACACAGAGCGGACCATGCCACTTTTGTTCATCTGGATTTTGTAATCATCGATGTTCAGCACGCCTTCATGCCAGGTTCCCACGTGGACATAGTCATAGCGATTAGCTTCAGTGTACTGCAGATTCATGATGTCATACCTACACAGAAAGTAAATACATGTGAGTTTTCCTGATAGAGAAAACAAGGACACTTGTAAATAAATGGGTTTTAGTGAAAGAAGAGAAATCTAAGTTAGGGTCACCACACATCCCAGCACCAAAAACTGTCACATTTATAGTTTATTCAGAATACTTCCTCTTTTCAGAGAATATCTGTATACCATCAGTTCTTGCTAAAGAATATATTGTTCTCAAACTTTTTCTCTGTTTATACTTCAAAAGGTAATGGTATATTTGTTTAGTTGGTTAATTGATCAACTAACTCCTTAAACACATGTGGTACAATTTGAAGAAGTAACAATCCACGAGTACATTAATTTCCATTTTGATTACTTTTATTTCATGTTCCCTTTTTGTATTCAGTTGCAATTTTCATTACAATGAGCTTTTAAGGGGGAAGTGGAGGTATTATAAGGCTTAGAATTACTTAGTACAAATAAAACAAGGAACCTGAAAAGAGCTTCTTTAGTTAGTAAAGAGGTTAAGGATTTAATGTGTGTGTTATATGATGTATGTGTATATTATATGTTGTGCTTGTTCAATATGTGTGTCATGCACACACATGAATGCAAGGGAAATGCCCATGTTTACTTGTGGACTCTGGAAAATGACATTTGCTATCTTCTTTCAATCTCTATATTGCTGCCTAGAGCTAAAGTCTCTCATTGAACCGGAAGCTCATCATTTTAGTTACATTGGTCAGCCAGTGAGCTCCTGGGATATTCCTGTTTCTAACTCCCCATGTTGGGGCTACAATATGAGTAACTGTTCCTGGTGTTTTATATGTGTGCTAGAGATTTGAACACAGGTCTTCTTGCTTATCAAGCAAGCACTCTTGCCCAAAGAGCCATCTTGCCAGCCAATTTATTATTTTGTGCATTGACATTCAAAGGGATCTCTTCCTGAATGAGACAAACATTTGTGGAACTGAACAACTGGTGTCAGCTATCTCAGTAGCTTCCAATGCTGCACAAAAACCTGAAATCTTTCTGTAGTAAGGGTGGCGCCGTGTACCTATCTTTTTCTATTTCCTTTTTTTCTCCCAAGAAATGTTTACTGCAACCAAAATATCTTCTGGGAGGCAGAGATGTTTTCCCTGGGGCCACTGTGGCAGACAGTTAACAATACGATGGATAGAACAGAGAACTTGTCATCAGGATGTGTGTGTTGGAGACTTGTCTCGCATTTTATTAGTAAACTGTACTACTCAGAACAGTCACTAATCTCTGCAACTTTCTTAGGGTTCTTATATGGATTTGGTAGCCTAAGACACATCAGAAGCTACTTCATATTTTGGGAACATGCATAGGTCCTATATCTGAATGTCTACATCTCCCCCAAATTCATGTGCTAAGACCGTTACTCCAAAGTGATTGGGCAGTGACAGGGTAATGAGGAGGGAGCCCTCAGGGTTGAGATTCTTGCCTCTGCAAAAGCAGTTTGAGAAACCTCTCTTGCCTTTCTAGGATATATGACACCATTAGAAGGGATCATCCATGAGTCAGAAAACAGAACCTTGTCAGACACCAAACCTGCTGGTGCCTTGATCTTAGGTTTCCAGCCTTCTTGATTGGATTTACCAAATGTCTACTATTAATAAACCACAGCTCAGATGGTATCTTATACAGTCCAAAGGTAAGACTCTGAGTGCATTTGAAGAATTAAGATCAAAGTTCTATTTCTAGAAACTTGTGAATATACTGGCTAATTCTATTACATAAAAAAAAACACAAAACAAACACAAAACAAAACAAAACCTTGGGAAGACATTGCTGTTGGCATAGCCACTTATTTCTGACAGTTCTCTAGTGGTTTTCCTTTTTTTCCCCAGCTATAACATACAGTTGTTTACCTAAACTCTATGCTTGGCTTCTTCCTTGATCTGCAGAGGGACTGTTGTCTGCTGAGCTCTGCACAGTCCTTAGCCTCCTGGACTTCATGAGTCATTATGACTCCCTCTCCTTATGTTTAACCAAAGGAACTAGGTGGTCATTAACCAGCATATATACCTGTTCCTGAGCAGTCTTCTATTCCACCAGATCCCCTTGCCCCCTGCTTTATTCATTCCAGAATACTCTTCTCTTTGAACCTAGTCAGGTTCAGTCTCATTCTCAGTACTCTGGACAGCTATTGTCTATCTCCTGTACCCGAAAAACCTGGCCCCTGTACCTGGCCCCACTTCTTTATCGAGGCAGAAATTTTCCATTTACTGGCATTGTTTTGCCTGTTCTTAATGTGCAAATGCATGTTGTCCCCCACAGGGTAACTCAAGGCTTCTCCACATTCAGATTCTACAAATAGCAGCTTCCTGAAAGAAAAGCAACTCATGGAAAATAAAGGAACTTTCCCCTTGCCCAGTGGAAAAACTTACAGAGTGTGCCTGGAGCTCATTATTTATCTTTTGCTGCTCTGGATTTTGGCTAATACTTATGATCTCCCTTGTTGCTGAGCTTACCAGAATATTTCAGAGTAGCTCTGAGTGGGGGTTAAGAGGCTATTAATTGTGAGTTTGTGGCTCAAACTCATCTAGGGGTCAATGAACAATTTACCCCTCCAATACCTTTACATTTTGAACGAATGCAATGAACCTGTTGTGACTGTTCAATGAGAGTCCATTTTTTCCCATTAATTTCTGCACTTTACTCCATATTAGGATGTGACACTTCCTCATGAACTTAATGATGGTGTTGGGAGCTGCCAACTTGAACCATCTTCCCCCTGTAAATCACTTCCTGAGATTCTTATTAGCACCTCCTCATTCGTTCTTTTATAAGGAAAATCAGTTCACACTTCATTAGCATTCGAAAGTTTCACAATACTTTTTTTTATGAAAACACGTTTATAAAAGTTCCAAATGCTGGAGGAGAAACAACAACAAAACTCCTTAGCTATCAAGGGAGGAATGCAAGCTTAAAGACATTCCAGTACCAGCATGCAAATAATAAACACAGCCCCCCTTCCTGGTTTGTGCTTTCACTTTATTTGAAATACTCTTATGTAAATCACATCCACATGAAACCTTCTCAGTGTGTTCAGTTTCTGTTATATGTTGGTTAAGTGAAGTAATTACCAAAGGGACCAAGAGCATGTGATACTATGACAGGAGCTAGATGTCCAAGGGAGGTGATTCAAGGATTGAACTGATTACTACATTGACCAGTCCCATGCAGGAGGAAAGGATCCCTGAAAAGGGGTCTGGGGAAGACTTGTAGATTTAACATGTAATTAAAGATGGAAGACATAGAAGCTGAGTTGCTTTCTTATGATCTGGATAACTTATAAATCGGAACAGAAAAATGTGCATTTACTGGCATTGTTTTGTGAAATGTGAAAATTCTCCAGCCCCACGCTAATTAAACACTAAGTAAATTCCACATGGGATTTGGAGTTCTGTTGTTGCTATTATCATTACTATTATTGCTGTTTGGGATCATGAAGGAAGGGTTACAGTGCAAGTCTGACCCTCTACTAAGCCTCACCTTCAATGGACTTGGGTTATAATAGTGGGGTTAGATGGGTAGACCACCTCTGCTGAATCTCAAACCTTTTGTTCCTCCTGATACCATGTCCTAAGGTACTTAGAGCCCCACATTCCCAGGCCCTGGAGCATCCATCCCACGTGCATTCCAATCAAGATCTGCCCCCACCTAACTGGCATCTTGGAAGGAATCCTGTAGTACATTTTTAATTGTTGACAAAGACCTACCATTTATCCTGTATTGAGCTGTTGGAGTTTTATGGGGGATTTCACTTAGCCCACACAGGGGATCCTCCACAGGTAGAACTTGACACCTCCATGCAAAGTCTCTCACAGTACTTCCATTGTGACACAAAGAAAGCTTCCAGCAATTTTGCCTAATTTTAGGATTAGATAAAAAGCAGTGCGGTGTGGCAAGGTGATCACAAACCCCAGGGTCAGACGGCACTGCCTCCACCACTTACTCTGTGTGTGGCTTTTAGTGATAGGCTTACTTTGACACTCATTATCTGTCAGAGAAAGAAATCAATGCACCAAGAGCGGCAAGACTTAAATAATTTTATGTTTCAACTTAGCATCAAACATGTTTGCCCAGGAATCTCTAAATCTATAAAATCACACTCTGGAAGATAGCAGGACCTATATGATGGGCACACTGCATCAACTCATGGCCTTTTGCCTTCCTGCTATAGATTTCGATTCCTCTGCCGTTCTTATTATCTCCTTCCTAGGAAAATGTGCATGAATTAATACAGCTAATATTAACACAGAACACATTCACTATGTACCAGCTATGTATGAGCTCACTGGTGGCATCAAAACAAATGTTGAAGAACAGATTGTGTGTAAAATGACTCAAAAAGAATATATATATATATATATATATATATATATATATATATAATTTCCTTTTCTATTTGCTTAATTTTTTTGGAAAGCCATTACAAATCAAATTCCAGTCCAAAAACCTCCAAGTCTTTCTTCTTTTTAGACATATAAACAGAAACATGTGTTAGCCTGAAAGATAAGGAAGGATGTGCATGCAGGGTTTGGTTCATGTTACATAGTGTTAATCAGTTGTAATGTGCATAATATTTCATGAGAAGAATAGCATTGTGTTCATCAATATGAATGGTGCTGGCTAGTGCAGACAGTGCTTGCTATGTCCCACTATCCAAGTGTAATGCTTTTAGGAGGTCTCAGGAATCCTGAGGGAGAAGCCAGATGATTTCTTGGTGTGAGGGTAGCTAGCAGGGTGTAGGGTTCTTAGAATTAAACATGAAGTATTTTGACTTTTTCAAAAGTGGTGTGGTCTTAGTCTCATCTATATTTTTATCTGTCTAGATGAGTTTATCTTCAATATCCCCAAACCATGGGACCCTAGTTGCCACTGTCTGGCTCAGGAGTCATGGGGATATAGATTCTTTACCTTCCAGGAGCATCCCCCTTTTCATCGAACCACACCTCCTCTCCAGACACGCCCACAAAGGAGGATTTGATGAGGAAATCCAGGAGCTTCCTGCCATCAATAGGCTTCATGGCGTCACACAGGCCCACATGGCCAGGACACAGAGCGTGGTGCATGTTCTGCAGGCCATGGGCCATGGCGTAGATGGCATTGATGACAAACCCCATTTTACTGTCCTGGACATAGTTTTCTTCTAGGCTTTCATTGCCTGTAACAATAGAAACAGATCACTGCCAAGGTCACAAGCATGCATCAAGTCAGGGCTACACACTCAGTGTTTAGTGCAAATCAGGGCCAACCACCCAATACTCAACACAAATCAGGGCTACACAATCAGTATTCAGTGCAAATTGGGGCTACACACCCCAAGCTCAATGCAAACCAGGACTACACACTCAGTGTTCAGTGCAAATCAGGGCTAACCACCCAATACTAAGTACAAATTTCGGCTACAGATACTGAAAGGGATCATGATGTTGGCAAAAAGCAAAGCCCATTTTGTAATTTTGATTAACTGTACTACATTCTGTCTGAAAACAGTGTATTTTCTCTTCCCCCTTCTTTATCCAGTACATATTTTATGAGTTATGGCACAAACAGCATTGAGGTTAAAGTAAAGAATTTTCATATAAGTAAATCATCCATCAAGGAGTTTTACAGGTACTTATATGCAAACCTCCCCATCTCATGGTACAGGGAAATGATTTTTTTCATCTGTTATGATGATCTATAATTCATGGTAATTCTACTTGTACAATGTCAAGTCTCTGTTTTTTTGTTTTTTTGTTTTTTGTGACTCTCCTTATATTGCCATCTCTAGCAATGTAAAAACCCAGGGTCAGAAGAATTATGTTTAAAACACATTTGTGAATCAGCAGACGCTTGGAAGTATTTTGTGATGGAAAAGTCATACTCTACAACAAATTTATCCCAGTTTACTTGTGAATCACAAGCTTTGTTACTTGTGAACTTTGAAAGCCCTGCAGTCCTTTCTACCCCTGTTAGAGATGAATAAAACGTCTCCAACTTCCAGCTAGTTTCACAGCAACTATAGCATTAGATCTGACCTCCATATTGGAAATCTCTGCTTTAAGACATGGATATGCATGAGAAATTTAGAGACCATTTGGGTTTTGTAAAATAAAAGTAACACTTTTGGAAAACAAAATTGACTTTGACTATATCACCAGCATACTTTAGGGACTCTCAACTTGGTTATTTAGATTCACTTTAAGAGCTAGCTGAGGGGATTTACAAAGTCTAGATTAGAGCCTATAGAAGGAACAGTAAGGAACTTTGACTTTGATGTTGAAATTGGAATAAAAATAGAAATTCCTAGAGTCCTATTTAAAGAATGGTCTATTTAGATAAAGTTGAAAATTGAGACTGATACTTGTGTATCAACCCTAAGAGTGAGGTGCAAATTATGGAATCAACTCAAATCCATCTTCCAAATGCTTGACTGGTACATGTTAGGGATGGAATTTGCTTAAGTACTATTTGTTAAACTGAAAGAAAATGTTCCGAGGAAACTAAGAATAAGACAGGTTAAGAGGGCACTGGAAAATCAAACCACACAGAATAAGCACACAGCATTGGACCAAGCAGAAAGTGCAAATGCTCCTTGGAAAAGTTGTCAAGTCTTTAAAATAAAGTGACTGAAGTCTGTTGGTATCCCCACTAAAACCTGTCTTAACCCAGTGATACTTCATTCATCAGCACCAAGGCAGAATCTATTCTTAGATGTCTGTGAAATCAGTGCTGTCCTTTTGATCCTTATTTAGGGCGATCATATAACTTAGCCAAAATGGGTCATTTCTTTTCAGGATGAAAGTTAGTGGGAATCATAATTTTTCCAGAACACAAGTGCTAAGAAGGCAAGCTGAGGAAACTGATACATATTTTGGAGGCTATGACCTCCAATTGTACCTACTTAACAATCATAACAATACATAGGCTTTATGTATGTACATAGGTAAATATAAATACATGTAAGTGTCTCATACAGTCAGTAGAATACTTTCATTAATTTTAATCAATTTTATATTTATTTCATTTTAGTGACAAGTACATAATAATATAATAGCTGCTGATTTTGAGTGTATAACTCAGTAAATGAGATCTTCCAGACAGATATTAACCTTCCCACTTTATAGGTGCAGAAAGAACAGAGTATAATATGGATCCAAATGCCTTTCCTCTTTCAGTTATGCTCAGTAGCTACATGGGACAGATACAAGAGTTTACACAGGAGGCAGAAGCAGGGAACTGTGCTGTGTACCAAAATCTTTCTAAGCCCATTTAATGTGTCTCCCTTGGATTAATCCAGATGTTCACAGATGCCCTACACGTGAGAAATCCTGGGACTCAATCCACCAGCAGCATTCTATGACAGAAATATCCAGCATGCCATATTTGTCATCAAGAGACCTAGGAACCTTGACTGTTTCTAAGCAATGTTCAGAAGATAAATCATTCATGTTCTTCCAAATAAACCTGACAACACACGTCTCCCTGTCCTCCTTGTCCAGTAGCTCTGCACATGAAAGGAGCAGATTACAATGAGAACTCTCTCTTCAGCTATTAGCCCAGGCTCAACCTTATTGGCTCCACTATACTGAGCTAATATTTGGCCTGTATAAGACACTTGCTTTGTCACAACTGCCCCAGATCATATTGTAGATATGTATCATGTGTATCTATCTCTCCTCCTCTACCTATCTATCTATCTATCTATCTATCTATCTATCTATCTATGAATTCTATATAGTGTGTGTTTATTTGTTTGTTTTCCATGTCCTCCAAAGATCATTCATTTTCAGAATCAGCGAATTAAAAATAAAAAACTAACAAAATTGTCATTTGGTGGGAAGGTAAAGCATTTCCATTCCCTGGATTTTACTGCCTTTTCATAACACTAGTCTCAGTGTTATTTGTGAGAAGGGGATTTCATGTTTCTTTTTCTGTGGTGCATTAATTGTTATAGACTACTAGGGGGTCATTAAACAAACACCTTTTAAAATATACTAAATTGAGTCAAACAATTGAGGTTGACAGTGTTTATTTACCTTCAAAAGAATACCTGCCTGCTGGCTTCAAGGCAGATTGTGAAAATAGCTACCTCAGTTCTAAATAGTAATCTTGTTCTTGTTGTAGACACACAACAAACATTATAAATTGCTCCTACAGTCAGTGGCACACAGTCCTCCATGGGCTTGGGATTCTTCATTGAATGTTATGAAATCAGGGCGCTCTGGTGCTTGAACAAAGAACTAGCAGTTTCGTCATTGGTGTTCAGGTGGGATATCCAGCACAATGGTACAATGAAAGGAACTCCAGACTAGGCTCCTGTGCAGTTGGATCTAGAGGTAGCCCTCCCATTGTCCATAATCAACATACTTCCCATAAGCCATGGAACTTGGCCTCACCTGTGTTATCCTTTTCACCTCTTGCAGGAGAAGACAGAAACTCAGGGAAGTCAAACTGTGCCAGGAAGAGTTGCCTTCCTTCACCTTATACATATTCCTGATGACATTTGCTCTTTCACCTTTCACCTCTCATGCTTGTGGGCAGAATAAGGAAGGGGCCTGCTGTTTCTCTTTGGTTAGAAGCCAGCCATTTCACCCAAACATACTTAGTGGTTCTATTGCCCATGGAAATTGTAGAACTGTGGTCTGTGTTTTTCAAGTTGCACTGGAGACTGGACAGGTTATTCTGTCCATTTCTAGGGCCAATGTTTAAATTGACATCTAGGGTCAATGTTTAAAAGTTATTTGTGAGTAGGTGCATAACTAACACAGTCCTCCATCTAATTCTTTTTTGTCCATTTTTCTTAATTTTTCAAAACTTTTAGCTATACATGGTAACTCATGCCTATAATCCTAGAGCATGGGAAGCTGACATGCTGACACAGGATTACATAATGTTCAAGGCTCAGCTGGGCTACACAGTAAATTCCAGGCCAGATGGGTTACATCATGAAACCCTGACTTAAATAAAATAAAACTCAAAACTTTTTCCTTAGAATGGACTCACCTACAGTAAAATGTGCTGAATTCTTTATTATGCGAGTAAATGAATTTTCATATATGTACATATCTATTTAACTGCTCTAGGATATCAATCCAGAGCATTTTCAGAAGATATATGTTTATTTAGGACTTCCTTCATGTATACCACCAATGTTTCATCCCTTTGATGGTGCAGGTCCCAAGTATTTGACTTTCTGGTTCCATTCCAATTGGTACACTTTTAATTTTTAAAATTCTGTTTGTCCTTAGTATACAAATATACTATTGACATTCGCATAGTGTTATATTTTTATTTAAAAAAAGGAAAAGAGAAAGCTTTAAGATGACACATGTTGACTAGTTTACTATACAGGCCCGGCAGAGTATGGAGACTAAGAGAGAAGAGGAACAGGCCTAACGGCTGATCGCCATGGCCAGTAGCCATAGAGACAGAGAGAGTGTAGGTGGGAGAGGAGAAGATCAGAGAGAAGAGTAGAGTGGAAGAGAGAGCGTAAATGGGCAGGAATCTGTTTTTTAAAGGGGTCCTCTGCACCTGCGTGCAGATTTAGTTCCCATGGGACCTTGGGCTGACCAGGGTACTGCCTGTTCCACCAGGTAACAGGGGCAGGCAGCATAATGCCTGAACCTTTCACATAGCAGTCCTGGTTATCCTGGAACCTTGATAATTTCACTTACTTGTTTATCCTTGAGACAGGGTCTTGACTTTGAGCAAATGATCCCACCTTGCTTCTCCAGCACTGGGATCATGAGCATACATCAACATAATTGGCTGAATTTACTTATTATTTCTAATTTTTCAGTTTTAAATGATTTTGCTCACTGACATTGTTTATAGAGCTGATGTTTAATCAGCCTGCTCCAGGCCTACTTTTTTGGAAGCAAATTGGAGAAGGAAGCCCATTGGTGAACCCTCTAAAATCCCATTAGTTAAATGTTCAATAACCTATGACTAGCAAGCACAGGGATGGTGTACATATGAAGGTATTTGTTGCCAAATAGCACTGTGCATGCATATAGCAGCTTTGTCCAGTAACTGACAAGGTTTATGACAAACAGTATGATATTTGTAGCAAAAAAAGAGACTTTAATGTGAATTTGTTCTGCATTTAAAAAAACTGCAGACCTACTTTAAGTGCCCTAAGTTGCAAAATGTACTAGTTCCAGTTAAAGCAACTGT